AAATGCCTCCCGAAAGTTACTGAAGCCATCAATAGAGAGTGTAGGAAATTTCTTTGGAATAAAAATCTAATTTCTCCCCTATGGCTTGGAAAGTATGTTTGCCCAAGTTTATGGGGACTGGGGATTACAAAAGATGAAGAGTTTAATCTTGCCTTCCTTCTTGGAAAATTATTTCAGATAATGACAATTGGTGGGTTAAAATTGTGAAGGCAAAATATCTAAGAAATGAAACCTTTTGTAGTGTGAAGTGTAAACAAAATTAGTCTAGGGCTTGGAAAGGAGTTATGGCTAGTAAACCTATCCTTTAAAAAGGAATGAGATGGATCGTTGGAAATGGTCAAAACATATTGTTTTGGTCCCATGACTGGGTTTTCCCTTTTCTACTGTCCACTCTCATTCAAGATCAATTAATAAATTCTTTACATTTAAATCTAAGAGTTAGTGATGTGATGGTAGATAAATTGAAGAATAAGGAGTTAATTCTTCAATTTCTACTTAATAATGTGGCAAATAAAATTTTTGGCATCCCTATCCCTTTAAGAGATATGGAGGATGAGTTTATCTGGGGACCGTCACCTAATGAAAAAATTTTGGTTAAATCTGCTACTTGGATTCAAATTGATGATACCCACAATAAACCTTTCAAAGAGTTACTAAAAAAAGTGTGGAAATTTATTATTCCAAAATAAAGTTAATTTTTTTGCTTGGTTGCTTATAAGAAATAGATTGTCTACATTCAAAAGAATAAGTAAGTATCATAATAATGGTCAAACTCTTTGCCCTTTATGCAATATTGTAGAGGAGGATCAACTACACCTTTTGTTTACTATACTCATGCTCAAGAAGTTTGGAAGCTTTGTAATAACATGTCTCCACCCTCATCCATTATCAATATGAATGATTGGTTAATGGGGATGTCAGCTTTATATAAAGATGATCTTTCTAATCTTAGTAAAATCCTAATTCTTTGTTAGAATATGTGGAATGATAGAAATAATTTTATTTTTAAATAGATTAAACCTCATCCAACTCGCTATCTGATGGCATCCGCTACAATTGGTTAAGATTTCTTGAAGGCTAATTTGAAACAGAAACCAAGGAAGACTAAGATCTCAAGCAACATCATTAGTTGGAAAGCGCCTGCAGAAGGCATTTATAAGTTTAATTTTGATGGATCAGTGTGAGGCACTTCTGCTGCTACGGTTTTATAATAAAAAATCAACAGGAGCAACCTTCTCTTGTGAGTGCTCGACATCTTGGACCAAACACTATCGTCATGATAGAAGCTTAGGCTCTCCAAGATGCCTTGGCTTTTGGCCAAACAATGTCAAATCAGGAAAATTGTGGTGGAAAGGGACTCGAAGGTGGTCATTAATGCAGTTTCTAGAAAGTGTGCAGTACCATGGAGAATTAGGTCCATTGTTGAGGACATTAAATGGCTTGCCTCTTCGTTTGAGCTAGTGGAATGGAATCAGGTCTACAAGGAAGCAAACTTCACAGCGGATGCCATCACTTTTCTTGGGCATAATTGTACTAATTTATATATTTGTTTTGGGTGTGTTCCTACTCAATCAAAAAACGCTCTCTTGTATGATTCTCGAGGCCTTGGTGTCTCCGAGGTTTCTCTTTAATTTAATCTTCTTTCTTCCTCAAAAAAAAAAAAAAAAAAAAATTTAACAAACTGTTTTTTTTTTCTTTTTCTTTTTGTTGTCCCAATTTGCCTCTTTATTTTTATTTTTATTTATTTCCACACCTTGAGGACAATGTGCAATTTAAGTTTGGGGGTGGGAAATAGATTTTTAGGATTTTTAATTTTTATGTAAGCTAAAATTTTCATTCTTTTTAAGTTAATATCCATATATTATTTTAAACGTTCGAACAAATGAACAAGGTGGAGATTAATCCCACAGTAGAGTTTTTCTATTTATCGCTGCTTTGACACTAATTCATGAGTTATAGTTTGAAAATTTGCACATTCACACCAACATAGTTTGTGGGAGTGACATTGAAGCACTTATTTTTTGTCTAAGTTTTTTTTTTTTTTATTTTTTTTTTATTTTTTTTTAATTTGTTCTAAATAAAGTGAAGTCTAGTTTTTGTTGTGAATAAAGTAATAATTGTTCCACTAGAGATTGGGTCAGTCATGTCTCATCAGCAGTGATTCTCACGTCAAATGATAGTCTTAGGCATGGGACAAAGTGGTTAGTTGGTTTTGTGGCCTTTTCAGCTCGAGTAAGTAAGTCCTTAGGATATTCTACACCTAGTGCCCTAAACCCTTATGGTTTGGGAGTCATTGACCTAAAGCTCGTTACATGGGTTGAATCGAAAGTTTAAGTGAATTGACATTGCACAACCACTACTATTACTAAAAAAAAATAAGAACAAAAAAAGAAAAAAAATATAATAGTTAAATATATAAATGTGTGAAATATTAAATAAAGATGACGAGTGGTAGGGGTTAGACTCTGTGGTGGGCTTCGTTGAAACTTTTGGAAAGATCTTATTTTTGAACTTTTCTATGGATTGCAACTTAAAATGAAAATTTGTTGTAGCTAAGTTTGTTAGTTTTTATTTTTGTTTCTAAGTTTTGTTTTGCTTGAGGACAAGCAAAACGCTAAGTTTGGGGGTATTTGATGAGTCGATATTATACAATATATTTTACGTTATTAGTTATAATTTATTGGTTTTTTTGATTGAATTTGATACTTTGTTCTATATTTCAATTATAGGACATGTGAATCTACTTTGGGCATAAAATGATCAAACGAAGGAATTTTGGAGAATTCTAAGTAGATTCGTGAGTCTTTCAAGATAATTGTGTCAAAATTTCAGATTTTTCTACTATGTCGTTTGACTGTGGCGAAGAAAAGAAGGCCCAGTGCGCAACTTTCCCAGATTGACGTTTTTGAACGTTTTGTGTATTTTGGGGATGAAGATGGCATATTTGAGGAAAGTTTATTCTGAAGATTTGTTGGGGACGTCTTAAGCTTTCAAAGAGACCTTTTTGGACCAAATCAAAGTTGATTTGGTTGATCAAAATTTTATTTTTCTAAGAAGTCTGAATTTGTCTTTAAATAGGAAACCTTTTTATTTGCTAATTTATTATTTTATTATGTTTCCTAGTTTTATTCTAAGACCTTTTCTAGGTATGATTTTATCTTGTAGTAGTATTATTAATAAAGCCCCATTTGGTCAATAGGTTAAAGACTCGCTTCTTAGTACTTTCCTACCACAAACCAATAATGCATTATGAATTGCAATTAGTTAGTTTTTTTTTTTTAATTTTTTTTTTAACAAAGTGATATTTTAAACTATTCCAATTCAAAGAAAGAGAGATTAAAACTTGGAAGAGCGCGAGCTTGAGTCAACAATGTGAACACACTATTCTAACCAACTGACATAACTCACATTAAAGTTGCAACTAGTTGTTAAAGTGGGTGACACACGTGTATATATATGTGAAATGCTAAGGAGGCTCTCTCGAAAGGACTCCTAATGAACTCTCTGCTACCTCATGTTTTTGGCTTAATATTTTATAATGTTAACACGATAATTGACGTTATACTTTTTTATGGGGAAATTTAAGAACTTAATTAACCTATAGTTGTAATTGATGGGAAACATCACAAATATCCTAGTGAGATATTTTAGTGATTGATTGGAAACATCACAAATATTCCACACTCAGTTTCAATTATAATTTCTCAAATTAGTGCATAACATCCCACATTCCCACTAATCATATGGTATTCTAACATTGTCTAAGATCAAAATTAGACGATAATTGACTGGATATTAGGGAAGGAGTAGGTTGGCCAATTATTGAAGGCAAATGTAGGGATGGTTTGATTAAGTTAGAGGCTGCCCTAACACCACTTTGGAAAACAAATGAAAAGAAAGATGGATTATTTTAAATATTACAGTGCATATATGCTTCTCTTAATTCTCCACCAGTCCAGTGTCCTTTAAGTGGTATTTGGTATGTTGCCTTTGTCTTTATAGATAATTGAAAGCACTGGTCGTCCATAAAAGCAATTTTTATACCTAATGTTTCTCTTTAAGTCAAGCACGGCCTACATGGCTTCCAAATTTTCCATTTCAGTCCTTTTGAGTTTACTCATAACTGAACTGAACATGTACAGCAATCTGAAAAACGTAAATGGTCATTCATGATGGGGTGTCCCAAATTTTATGTCGGATTTTTTCAATCTGGTTTCGCTATAGTTTTTCCGGTTTTAAGCTCCTTTTTATTGCCCTATTGGGGTTGGTGTCTTTGCTGTTTTTTAAACATTTTTGTTGTATATTCAAGGTTTATAATTACTTTGATTGTTAGTTATAAACAAAGTTTTGCCAAGATGTTTAGGGGTTTCATGATAATTTCCACTGTGGATCATACATTAAGTACTATTCTGTTAATAAACTATATAAGTACACTATCTTCTTAGACTTTGTGCCCCCAACAACAGGACAGTGGTCTATGTCACCTTTCGTTACAATTCAAAGCTAAAAAGCATAAAGCTTTTATTAATTTATAATTTCCTGTCAATTTTCTGTTTATCTCTAGGAATTCCACTCTAAGACCATCTCCAACCCTTTGGCTAAAAACTAAATTTTTTAGCTCGGAAAATTTGGCTTTTAGCCCAGAAATATCTTTTCTACTCCAACCCTTCTGCCCTAAAATTTTAGCCCGGAATTATTAAAGAATGAACTTAGACTAATTTTTTTCTTAAATCAATTTTTTTTTAAAATAAATATGTAGATTATTGTAAATTAATTTTATAAACATTTTAATCTAAAAAAATTTAAATTCCGATAAACATTTGGCATTTAGCCCGGAGGGAAAGCTGGGGGGTATTTGGTCCAGAAATAACATTTAGCATTTAGCCTAAAATTTTAACATGAGTTGGAGAGTGTTTGGGGGTAATTTGGCTTTTAGCCCAGGTTTGGAGATGATCTTTTAGCCCAGGCATTTAGCCTAAGTAGACGATTTGATGTTCCTTTGCATTAAATTGTAGGTATATAGGAACCATATATCATTTCGTCCATTAAAATTCTCTCATCTTGAAGGATAAAAAAGCGTCTCAGACAGAAACAAGAACAACAAAGTTGCTTAACAACATGGCTTTCATGTTCCTCAAGAAGTTCATCATCCTCTTTATTCTGATTTCAGCATCATTTTTATCAACCGCTTTTGCAGCAGGTTTGTCTTTTGTTAAGTGTTCCGCTGCAGCCTTTGGTTTTAATTAGTTATATGAATCCTTGCATTGTCAGAGATGTCTGTTTATATACACACACATATATATATATAAAGATATGCATATGTATATAAAGATACGCATATGTACAAGAAAATAGGGCTGCAGTGACGAAACAATTAACAATAAGAATTGCAATTTTTAGTAACCAAAAGCATCCTCGCACAACCCTAATTTCTTGTAGTTATGCCTTCATGCATAATTAGGAGCTAGTGCACCAGCAGCCCCTTATTTACGATGTTTATGAAAATATAGCTAATTTGCATTGATTTGATCTTTTGATTAATACTTATTACGTCTGAGTAGCCATAATAGATAGACTCCTCTAGCCAGAAATATTGTGCAACAGGATATTAATTTATGCAAACGAAAAGGAGATTTCACCTTTACTAATATGCATGACATGAGAACTGCATTTGCAGGTCGAAAATCGATGTCTGTCAACAAGTTTGCCAAAGAAATGGATGCAACTACAGAGGTTTGTAATTAGAAAGGCTTCGGAAATTCTTGTGTTTATGATCTCCTTCTTCTTCCTCCTCCTCCTAATAAATTAGTATTACTTGTACAGAATGTTTGCCTCTGACTCGTTATCTGATTTTCACGCCGTAGGAAATGTTAGGGAAGCCATTGAACCACAAAGAAGTAGCCAGAATCCATGAAAGGCTGCTTAGAGCTAACACCAAAGACTATGGGCGATATGATCCAGCACCAGCTCTTGTTAAGCCTCCTTTCAAGCTCATTCCGAACTGAGATGATAGTGATGGTTTTTGCCATCCGCGTTCCCGGTCGGATTAGTGAATTAATTGTATTAATTAAATAAATGAAGTGTGTATCCAGTACTATAAAGTCTTAAAAGAAATCCTAGTGTACTTATGTGAGATATATATAGATAATTTATACTAAGTTTTGAACTGTAATATTGTATTTTAATTAAGTCTTAAGAAGAATGATGTTTTTATGTGTATGGGGTATTTGTTTCACTATGTATGTATAGCATGAACTGAATTATGTCCATTCTATATCTATGTCCTCTTGCAGTTCTTTTTTTTTGGTTGGAGTTACTCAGATCATGGTCAAACATTACGATTATACTTTTTCTTTGGTTGAAAGTACAATATGATATAAAATAGATATTTAGCTTTGAAAATTACATAATATAACTCCTGCAAATTGTAAGTAATTAATTAGCATAGAGTGACATCTAGCTTCTACTTTGTTTAACAAAGTTCTGAGTTTGAACATTATGGACGACTTTGTTGTATTTACAAAAATAAATGAAGAAAACCCCTAGAGGTTTAAAAAGTAGTAGAATAATAAAGTCTAACACACCGTACTTTTAGAATAATCAGTTGTAAAGTAAAGTTAAATATTTGGTAAATTAAATTTTTAACATGGTTGTGAGTGAGGAAAACAATGTCATAATGTTTGGACAATTTCAACAACCTCCATGACTTTTTTTTTTATGTTGGCGGCTTGAGTTGTAGGGTGGAGTTGGTGGTTGTGCGTTGGGTTTAGAGGTGATGGCCTGATGGGGGTGGAAGTGACTGTTAGCTAGTGGAGGCCATGCTTCCATGACCCTATATTGATTTTGGAGACAAATAAGCCCCAGTTAATTTAACAAAAATTTAACCGGGGCTTGACGGATGTGATATTTTTCATAGGTTGGGTACTTGTTTGGAATGTTAAAAAGATTGAGACCAATTTAGAATGATACTAAAAGGTTAGGGGGGGTTTTAGGTAATTAATCCTAATTTTATATAAAATTGTAATACATGTGTATGATGACTAAAATGTAATTGATGTTCAAACTTTTATATGCAAAATAGATTGAGACCAATCATGGTATGGTGGTGTGGGGGTGTGGAGTGTTGGTGAAGGCAACTATGGCAGTGGCAGTAGCGGAGGCAGCGACGGTGGTTGTGAGGGTGTTGGTGATGAAATTGGCGGTGGGATGGTGGTGTGGTGGTAGCTGCAATGAAGGCAGAGGCAGTGGTAGTAGAAGATGGTGGTAGTCATTTCCCCCAAAGAGAGTGAAACACAAGAGGGTAAACAATGTAGTTTTTAAAACTAACGAGAGAATTACGAGAATTGAAAAAATACATTAAAGGCTCCTCTCCGTTTTATGAAATAAACTTTTAAAAGCAGCATAGAAATTGCATTTTTTAAGTTGTCAAGGAGTTTACATTATCACACACTTTTTATTGCTTCATTGCTTAACTTTAAAGTTGCATGCCTCATTATGTAATTTTCTTCTCAACCCACAAGCATGTTGATGATTTCTTGTGCTTGACAATATTTGGCAATTCCTGAAATAAATAAAAAGACAGTATTTGGCAATTTGCTTTGAATTAGTAAAAGGCCCCTAGTTTGAAGCAAAAGTTTACACATACCATAGGGATACCATAGTGGCTATGTCATGTGAAAATTTTACTATACATGTTATTCTATTATTGGTTCGGAACGCCAAAGTGACATACCGGAGGCTTAGATAAGTACTTCCCCAACCGGAAATCTGCAATGTCCTTGGTGGTATTCTTCCACACCTCAGCCACCGTATTTATGCCATATTCCTAACGCACGGATGAAGAAAGAAAGAACGCGAAAGTGAGGGAAATGCTGGGAAAAGTACTTGATAGAAAGAAACAGCTACCTTCCAAAGAAGTGAGAAATCATATGTGCAGTAACTTCTTACTGCAACATTACTGTAACTATAGGAAGAAAACTATAACCACTGAAGAAAGTTGAGGCTCCACCATAAAACCAATAGGAAATATGGGGAGTAGCTCAACCTCTTATAAGCCCGTGTATGGCCCCTCCTCCCATCAATGTGTGACTCATTCTCAACATGCCCCCTCACATATGGCAAATTTTCAAGCCTAACACGTGGACAACACATCGGGCCTCCTTTCTTTCTTCTCTTCTTTCAAGTGAATGGCCCCTTCTTGTATCGAAAGGTTTTGTGTGCTATACACCACGCCACATTGAGAAAGACCAGCCTTGACGTGGGCCGTGTGTGGCCGTTAGGCTTCACACGTGGAACAACCTGCTCTGATACCATGAAGAAAGTTGAGGTTCCACCACAAAACCAATTGGCAATATGGAGAGTAGCCCAATCTCTTATAAGTTTATGTAAGGTCCCTCCTCCCATCAATGTGGGGCTCATTCTCAACAACCATAAGCGGGATCTGGTAATTTAAATAAGAGAGTAGCATGCAATATAAAGTAGATAATGTTAGCCTTATAAGGTTATACAATTAAAACACAAATGAATGAGTGATTGACCTGAATCCAACGGAAGCCATGAATACAAAAGGAGCAACGCACGGCAACACCAAGATCTTCTATAAACTCCTAGCCGAATACAACTGCTCTATGAGAAGCATTATGTTGTGTTTCTAGGGCTTATAAGGACTGGTGTTTATATATATAGGCTAAAAATTAGGGTTTCCATCCATAAAGGAAGGAAACCTAAACTTACTTTCTTAGCCTCTAAGTTAAGTATCATAATTATAGTCAATTAAGCATTCCATCAATCCTATTACCAATATAAGACACATGATATAGGATTAATATCTTTAAGATATCGAATCACAATCAACATTATTTCTCCAATATTGCATTCCTATTACATGTAGTAGACCACTTAAAGGTTGATTTATATTGGATAAATCCAACATTCTCCCACTTGGTCTACAAAATGTAATGTTCATGTTTATACTTGAGATTGGAGACTAATGTCTCTTTAGTGGCCATGTAATAGTGATTACATCTCATCATTAATGCAGTTTCTGTCAAATGCATTTCTCAACATGGAACTAACAAGGTTGTAGGGTTGACACAGTCCATAACCTTCATAATCACACATGCTAAGATCCTCATTCACATGAACACAAATTATGATCAAGAGATGAAACTTTAAATTAAACTTTAAATTAACCAAAATGTCTTACTTTATATCATCTCAGGTCCACCTTATTGTAACTCATAAGTTACACTTTATGCTTCTTTGAAGCCTTAAATCTGCCAATGTAGATATCCTTCATCTAATGAAACCACCATAACATGCAGATGTGAATACATCTCAAAACAATCACACATCACTTTCATTAGACCAATAATAAGCATACAAATAATGTTTGAAGCCAACAGACACAACTAAAAGTACCAAATAGGCACATGTCCAAGTAAATTACCCAAAAGCTTTGTAAAACAAATTAATCCAACACTTATAAGCAGATGAATTAACATGTTTTTGACACTGATCTATGCACTTTACCAATTACTTTAATGGTGATTTCCAACACCTGCGGACAGATGGAAAACCTCACAACTGATGTATAGACCATGGCATACCATTTAGTATGCATTTTGATAACAACTTGATATCTGACATATATTTCATCAGATAAATGACTAGCACACAAAAATGTGACTTAATGAATCCAACTAAAGATTAAACTGAATACATGGATTCTATACATACCTTATAGGTCATCTGCAAATGTAAGACATTACTAACACGAAACTTAAGCTCCCACTGATCTGCAACATCATTACTTAATTTGCAAATCAATACTTAAATCATACTTTTGAAAATATGCCGTTGGGAATAACCTTACTCAATCAATTATGAATGCATATTACCCCAATGAAAGGTACAACTAAGCACGAAAGCATTCACCACTGTTACACAAAAACATGCATCCAACAACCACCTTATATGTATTAATAAATCCACATTTATGCTAAGTCCTTATGAGCCTCAAAACAAATGATCAACCAAGAAATCCAAATGATTGCAAATAACAGAAAAATGTATGCATATACCAAGTATCCATTCGTGCAACTTAAACATATTATAGACATTCGAGTAACACAAATTCATAGAAGATAACACTTTAATAGATTCATTCAAGTCCACTTAATGCTCAAAATTTTAGAACAACTCCCACTAAGTTTTCAGAGTTTATACTTGCAAATAAATTAATGAGTGTGAAGCCCAATTTTTGTTCACTAATTCTCCCACTTGGGCAAAAACTCTTTCAAAGATGTACCTAAATAAAACTACTTTATATTTTGGACATAATAAAATAGACATTACAACCAACATAAAGTTGTCAAACAGAATTTCAGCAACGAGTTACACTTACTTTAGAATTTATCATAATTAATTTACAACCTTGATTGCTACCAAAGTTATACTAACCAAAATAGACATACTAATCTTCATAAGACAAAAATATGGAGCTGTTTTGTGTCAAAATAGTAGTCTAAAGTGATGTCTCAAAAAGACCAACATAATCTGTTAGTAAAAACTGTCTATACGAGTATGGGTTACTAGTAAATTCACCATAATTAACATACATGGCAGAAAATTACTAAAATTTGCAAACACATAGTAGACATCTATATGTTGAACATATCTAAAATTCAGGTCATTTGGTGACCATTAGACGTGTCATTCACCCGATTTAAATCAAGCCACGTAATCTGCCAGAAACAATTATGTGCATCTATAATGAATTTATGCACCCATAACAAATTCAATTTCATATTTAGTAATCAAATTTCATCCTCTAAACCGACATCATAGTTCAAATTGAAAAGATTTACAAGCATAAGATTTAAACAATGCGTACATTAGCAATCCTTGATTAATTTTCATGGGTCCAATACTTCGCATCAACAAGTCTCATGAAGAGACACAAAATACATCATGATGCAACCAATTTCCATGCCTTAAAACCACAACCTATTATGGGGCTCATAGTGGAAATATTTGCAACTGATGGCATGGAACTTTATCCCCAATAAACTTCATGAAACTAGGTTAATTTACACCTATAGGCAGAAAATTAACTAGTTTCTAGTACTAGATTTTATGTCTCAAGAGTACCTTCATGAAAAACTTCAACACCTATGGGCAGATGAAGCTTTCACTACTCTTATGAAATAAAACC